AACGACACACATTTTGCTGATGAACCCACCCCATTCTCTTACCTATTTTAAACATGAACCTTAAAAGGTCATGTTAGTCTCAATGACTCAATAGTGGCAGGCAAGTATATCTACAAACTTAATCATGTTTTAAAATATGAGGGGTGTGCGACAGGCTTTAATCCACGCAATGCACTCTGGGCAACGTATACTCATACGGCAAAAAAGTCTATTAACCGGCATTTGACTTCTGACTTCAAAATACCATGGCCCGACTGCTTGTCATATTCGATCCCTTCCACAGTATTCATTTTACCATTTTCCCTACCTTTGTGTCTGTCTGCCTCTTTTGCATCTGTGAATCGCTCTTCTGTTCCCCGCCCCTCGACTTTCTGCTACTTTGATGAACCTTCCCTCTGTGAAGCCCGACGTCAGCTAAATGGTTAATGATAACTATCAAAACGCCTGTCATTTGAAATAAATATAAACTTCCAAAATACTCACTTTACCCTTCCCTACCTTTGTGTCTGCTTGCCTCTTTTCCATTTGTGAACCACTCTTCTGTCCCCCCTCTCGAANAAGGGATCGAATATGACAAGCAGTCGGGCCATGGTATTTTGAAGTCAGAAGTCAAATGCCGGTTAATAGACTTTTTTGCCGTATGAGTATACGTTGCCCAGGGTGCACCGCGTGGAGGTAAGTCTATCGCACACCTAGCCTAGTTTGAGAGATTATTTTGGAAGTAGTGCAATATGACATAGTGTCGGGTCATGGTAGTTTGAAGCCAACTTCCGGTTCATAGACTTATTTGCCGTATGAGTATATGTTGCCCAGGGTACATCACGTGGAGGTAAGTCTATCGCAAACCCCTAGTTAGATATACAAAGAAAGTAAGAACATCACTATTTTTAGAGCTGAGCACTCTTGGAGATTTTAATATGAAAATAAGGTTTATTATGTTGGTCAGATGAACCCAATTTGCCTTCGTATGTCTATCTTCAAAAAACACGCTTCAAGTTGATTTTACGGTACTCGAGCCTCATACAAAAAACTCGATGTTTTTATCATATCAATTCCGCCAGCTATCACATATTAGTCTGTTAACACTATCTAATCACCATCCGATCTTTCGGAAAGTTGTGATATCACATTAGGCTTGGCTGAACGTGTAAAAACGTGACTTAAACCTTGATGAGAAAGATGGAACTGCTTGTACCCAACTAATCATTTTGCGCAGAATTTTAAGTTTTCTCTACTATAAAATTTCCTGCGTATAAGATGATGCACTCCAAGAATCTAGGAGATTGCTACTTCAAATTTAATTCAAGTAGTCATATTCTGTTAAAAGGATAAAATGCTAAATAGACTTTTGATAAATTAATTTAAATATGAAAATACTTAAACATATGCTAGCATTTCAAAGTGAGAACTAAAGCTGAGTAAAAATCTAAATGCTTTTCATAAACACTGCATATTTTTTCCCAAGAGTGAGTGAGAATGAACCCTGGGACTTTTATAGTTTTAATTTCACTTTTTAGATGTTTAGGTTAAATAACAAAATGTCTATTTTTGTTTAAATCTAAATAAATATTAGGGCTCAATAGAAATTATGGTATAGCTTGTAGCTTTAACTGGACCTCAGGCATGGGGTAACTCCCAAAATTAGCTAAGCTATCTCAACAATATCGAGAAAATAGAGTGTATGGTGTGAATAGTATATATTGTGGTTGTGAGTCCCCGGCATGGAACTTCATCATTAAAGTATAATTAACGTTGTCTTAAACAATGAACCCACAATCGATTGATGCTTGGCTGTGTGGTCTTTGCACTCACCACCGTACTTGCTTCCTACACAATAAGTGGCAGCGCCACCTCTTAGAGTTCGTCTGAGTGCGCGTAAGGTTTCAACCAAGCTCATTATGTCTGTACATTTAACTTATGTACTAAAATGTCAATCTAAAGAAGTACCAATCCCTAGTAAAGGGGCTTCAAAGATATTCCTTTCGAAATCTTACGTCCTTAACTACTTACTCACGACAACAGTCCTTGCCATGTCAGAGGGGTTATTGTTGAAATGGGCTATCAATAGGTTTAAAGAGAACAGAGAAGCAACACGAATCAAAAAGAATATGAAAAACAAACGAAATAGAGTAGTTTCACTTCGAAAACGAATATGTGAAAATAATTTTCCAAAAGATAGTTTGAAAAGCATTTCATCGGATATGATTTTGTTGCTGAGAGAAGGAGTTGTGGGTTTTCTCATTTCCGTCACTCTTGTCTTTCATAATACTTTAAGACTACAAAACGGCCAATGAAAGTCCATGTCGATCATTGTGACGCTGGAACATGGGGCCCATACGGTTTTCGCTCAAATTCTCTTGAGATTGGGTTTCGAACTTTTAGGACAATAAAGAGGTGTTTCGACTATTTTAACCGTGGCGGCCTAGTTAAACCAAAGCCTTCATTGGTATTCGGATAAAGTTGCTTTATCCGCAAATTTATGATGGGCTTCGCTTCTGTTCTCTATGGCACTGGATGACTACAAGCTGTCTAAAATAGTTATGAGAGCACTCGTTCCTTTACCCGTTAGAATTCATTTTATCATTTGTCGGCACAAAGTAGCTTATTTGAATTTTTATGAAAAATCATTAATGTCATGATTTACAAAGGTAGCATAAGTAGCTACCAAGCCAACAGTGCATCACAATGAGTAGTGATGTATTTAAAATGGTACTATGTCTAGAAAAGAGGGGTGTGCGATAGACTTACCTCCATGTGGTGCATCCTGGACAACGCATACTCATACGGTGAAAAGTCTACTAACTGGTAGTTGACTTCTAATTTCAAATTACCATGACCCAACTGTGTGCCACATTCGACCACTTTCACAGTACTCGCCTTATCCCTTCTCTATCTTTGTGTCAGTCTGTCTGTCTCTTTTACATTTGTGAATCACTCTTCTGTTCCCCCTCACCACTTTTTCATACTTTGATGTTCCTCCCCTCTGTGAAGTCCGAAGCAAACTAGATGGTCAATGCTAACTATCATACACCATGCCATTTGATGTAAATAAGTGTCTAGAAAGGCTACTTTCAATATAACTGAAATAATATATTCCAATTTTAGGGCAAACAAGTTTCAAAACCCCTTCCCAAGTTAGAAGAACGTCTGTTAAGGTGAATCAAGACAATAGCAAAGAGGAAGTAGTCGGGGTGATTGTGTACAACACCCTTAACTTTCTCATGTCGTGATGAAATTATACATAAAGGTGTAAGCGTAGTAAGCTTATGGAGGCCATTCGTTTTGAGGCTCTTTTAGTCAAGGTTCAACAACTTCAAATATATAATATAATATATATAATTTTTATTAAGCCCACCCATATAATTTATTCTTGAAATATCATAAATTAATTTCATTTTTGTCCTACACTTTTAAAACCTTCGCCAACTTATTATCATTCTCTCAATAAATCGATAAAGTCATGCGATTTGCCATGGAAACGAAGAAGTTCATGTGCAATAATCGTCTGTCAATCATTAGATCTTGCAAATAAAACAAAAAACACATTATTATAAAAGTAGAAGAACCTGATTAACTTATCGTAAAAATCCAATGATATTTGTGGCCCAGGTCGCACCAAATTCGTGCATCACATTTGCATCATTTTTACTGAAATTTTGTCGATATGTATTTAGAGGAAAACTCATTTTGCGAAATGCTATTATAAAAACCTGTGAATTTTATAGAATTGACGCAACGGCTTTATGGATTTTTCAAGTTTCATTTTTCATAGAAACAAAGTTGAGATATGCCAGAGGATGCATAATCTCCTATTAAACTTTTACTGAATTGAATGAAAAGTGAAATTTACGAATCTCAGATCAGCAATAGGAGACTAATACGTAGATGTGATTGTAATTGTACACAGCTTTTGAACATCACAATGGTATGCTGTGGCTGATTAGAAATTATATTTGTCAGTGAATTATTGATATTTATTCAAAATAGGGAATTTCAATGTCATAGGATTATAAAACATGTATATATTAATCACTAGTTTCACAAGCAAGTTCAAATTCATCTGATTGCTGAAGAAATTTGGAAATCGGTACTGACTTAGTTGTATCGATTATGTCATCCACATCTTCCCCTGTATATACAATAACATTTTTTAAAGGCATGTTATATCACGTTTAAAATTGCAGTATTATCCTATAGAACTTAAAAAAATGGACAGGTGTGCAAATAACGGAAACAACAATTAAGGGCAGCATCGTCTTGCCAGAATCCGGGGTTCAACCACCAGGATCAAATTCTCCAGTCGGTGACTAATATGTCAAAAGGTTGTGATGTAAACGAAGCTAGTCATTGAAATGGTTAAGTACTTTTGGTTATTTGCCTCTTCAGTGCTAAACCCAAATGCGTCCATTAGGTTTTGAAACAATGGACAGGATCAAGGAATTGTAGTTAATGAAAGCAAGATATCGACTTTTCTTTATTAAGAAACTGGAAGCATCAGCGGAAATTGCGTCTCATAGTTGCATGTTTTTTTCGGTTGATTTAACACTGGATCTGGTTATCTAACACAGGAGGCATATTAATTTCTTAACTGCTCTGAAAAGTCTCCACTCAATTTATTTAAAATGTAAGATAAAGGAATTACTATCATAATGTTCGATATTCCATGTGATTTTATTTTTAAAATTGATTAATAATTTTTACTTTAATTAATCAATAGCCTGAGGCTTTGGTTAATAATTAAAAATGTCCATGACTTGATAAAATTCATCACTAATACGATGCCAGAACACAGTATTTGCTTCGAAAATTAGCAAACGCATTTGCACGCTAATTACTCACCACAACACAGCACACAATAGTGCGAGAGCAAATCTGCACAGCCATTTGTGAATTCTGATTTTGTATTCGTCTTCTCATAAGCGCAAAACCCACCCCGCACTCAACGACAGAATGCCATTAGATACCATTCTCAGGCACTCACTTTTCTCCTTCTTTACGACATGAATACACGAGTTGTGACCTCTGTTCTGATTGGCATTGCTATCCTACTTACCACTATTGGCGTTGCGACAAATAATTGGAGTGGAGGAAATCTCCTCAATCAAAATGGCCATAACTCCGAGACTGCTTTAGGTGTTGGTTGCTTGCTAATTGTGGGAGCTGTTTTTCTATGTATCGCGCTGATTATTAATGTCACGCAGGTCCTTAAAAATAACGAATCTTTTGGCCCCTGTTTGGCCTTTTTCATTACTCTCTACCTGGGAGTTGCGTGTCTTCTAGTTGCAGTTATTATCTACACGCAGATCTTTTCGAAACAATGGTCTTATTTTATCTCTGTGGTTGGGTGCGTCTTTGCACTACAGGTCGCTATTCTGGTGCCGACTTACACTCGATGCACAACCAAGTCTACTCGCACGCGTCGAACTGTTCGTGCGACTCGTTAGGATAAAATGTGAAATCATCTCTTGCAAAGCTTCTTCAGTCCAAAAAGTGTTTAACTCTTCGCTGTATTACAATATTTACTTCGCTTAGTCATCTTCTATGCACACCCACTTGCTACTAATGCTTCTCGTATTACCCTGCTCCTTCTAATTTAATCTTAACTGTATTACTTCTGTAAACTCTCATCTACATTCCAATTTAATTGAATTATACCTTAAGTAAATATTACGATAAATAAAATAGTAATAAATTTTTGCTTGTGCGACTAATTTGAAACACAACCCTTATTAAGTATTAATGCAATTATCGTAGATACTGATTTCGTTATTTTTATGTTCGTGATTATCAATTTTTAATCAATTTTAATATTAATAATTACTTATTTCAAACTTAGTTTTTAAGGTGTTAATTTAATTAGTCAATTATTGATATTAATATGGTACCTGTAGGAACGTATAACCACTTATCATTCCTTCCAAGTATAAACGTTTTCATTCACATGGGTGAACCATTCGAGTGGGAGGAGTAAAGTTAACTAACTTTTGTCATAGTAGAAAGTTGAATCAAATTTACTTTGATAATCTACCGAAACGCATTTTAAAGTGGAGTGAATAAAATCCACGATGGATTGTGATTAAATGCCTATTTACTTGCCATAATACAGTTATTTTCGTGAGTGCTGTAAATCATAAATTTGTCTAAATTCGGAAAAGCGTAAATGTGTAATAAAAATACAATAAATATAGTAATATATTGGCAAGATAATTGAAGCAATAATGTATACTGCAATATTTGGCCCGAAATATTTATTTATTTCAAATGGCGGGCTTTATGATACTTATTATTTGCACGTTAGCTGATTTCGGGAATATCAAAGTGAGAAAAAGTGGAGAGGGGGAAGGAACATCAAAGTGAAAAAAAAGTCTTGGGGGGAGGGGGACAGAAGAGTGATTCAAAGATGTAAAAGAAACAGACACAAAAGCAGAGAAAAAGTAGGATAAGTATGGTGGAAGTTATCGAATAAGACATACAATGGGATCATGGTAGTTTGAAGTCAGAAGTCGGCTGCCGGTTTATTGACTTTTTTGCCGTATGAGAATAAGTTGCCCAGGGTGCACCACGTGGAGGTAAGTCTATCGCTTCTGATTAATGACTTCAGCATTAAATTATTCGATTATTTTCAGTTGAAAGCTAAATAAATTCCGAATTTTAGAACTTATTTTTGCTAAAGAATTATGTATTAGCTTTTAATAGAAGGTTATTTAAGTGTTTGAGGATCATGTCTTGGAAGTTGAAGCGGATGGCTACATGAATAAGTCCAGGCAAAATCACACCAACCTCATCCCTAGAATGGAATGACTCTCTAGATTAGCTGATACATCAACAGTATCGATGAAATGGAGTTCAAGGTGTTTTGGCTATGTTGACCACATTTTAACTATTGATTGTTGATTGACTAAAACAATCGGCAATACGCAGAACTTGTTTGTACGCCCCCCCCCCCTCCTCCCACCCACCATTGTAGAATGTTTGAGCGTTTCATGAGAGTTCTCGGTTCAGCCAGGTTAGTGTGTGGTCCCACGAATTTGTAGAGAATTTCTCGACGATCTTTGCTATGATTGGATTGTTAACTTCTGCAGTGATTATCCACAAACTCCGTATTTGAACATATCACTTACGTGAACTTTGAAGCATCTTGACACTTCCAAGCACCAACCTTCATCATTACTCTGAACGATTTCGTATGAGATGGAGATAAACATTAAAAGTATGTGTACCATAACTAAAATAGTTTTTTTTTGCAAGTTAAAAAAGCTGAAAAAGATCGTGACTCTTTATTCTGAATACTACGAAAAATGTCCTTCAAAATGGCTTTGAATGCTGTCCATAGCTTCTCCCTACTACAAGATGTGGGAGGTTTATTCCACAACATAAAAAGTTAACAACATTCGTTTTCGTACAAGGCACATCTTGGCCCTTTGTGTGTAACTTCCTCTAAAAATCACTAATGTTTCATTTCGAGTTAGCCAAAAAATTATTAATATTTTGGAGTCTTTTTTCACGGGAATTATCCAAGTGCACATTTGCCTTTTGAATCAATCAATCAATCTCATAAATGCCTTAATCCTAAAGCATTTTACTAACGACTTCTAGACCAAGTAACTAGTAAGATAGCTTCTATTTTTCATTTTTCATGAGGTGCAATCAAAATCAGTGTCTCTTTCTATGACAATTTTAACGACCTCTTAAAACTAGCGATGAATTTTTGCTTACTTAAATGAAGTTAATAGGTATATATTGGTTGAAGAATATTTTAGAAGGAAATTTCCTACGAGATTTGATTCGCCTCAAAGGTCTCTAAAACCATCAGATAGTTATCAATGAATGGGCGATTATTAATGCAATGCATAATTTGCTAATCATTCAGTCACCTGGAAATATGCAGATTAGTCAAGCACTTAAGGGGAGAGACATAGTTTCATTTGTGGAGTGCACACCGCTACCATGGCAGAAGAAAGAAATCTCATGCGTACTCAGACAAACTCAAGGTGCAGCCGTGCTACTTGCACCTTACTTGGGTAGGGAGAAAGTGCGGCAGAGAGCGAAGAGACCTCTCGGTCAACGACCAATTAGTAGTCGTTGCTTTGTACCTTAATGAGCAAGTTCTGTGACAGATATACAACCCAACTGAAGGTGTGCCACACAATATGTTTTTTATTTCCTCTCTAAATTGTTGCATTATTTCTTGTCATATAGGGGTGTGCTGTAGGCTTACCTCCACGTGGCAAATACGGGGTGTGCGATAGACTTACCTCCGTGATATATTTAATGAATGGGGTGTGCTGTAGGCTTACCTCCACGTGGAGCACCCTGGGCAACGTATACTCATACGGCAAAAAGTCTATTATTTGGCAATTGACTTCGGACTCCGAACTATCATCACCTCACTGTATGTCAAATTCGACTACTTCAACCGTACTTACCTCACCTTTTATCCAACTTTGTGTCTGTCTCTTATACATCTTTGAAACACTCTTCTGCCCTCCCCCCATCTCATTTTCCGTTTTTCTTTGTACTTATTCCATGTATTTATTGCACTCAGGAATGGATCGCCAGAGATGGAACGTGATGTGCCAATAAGAAACGACACACAAACAAACATCCTCAATGCGTTAGAAGTTCTTCCTTATTTATCAAGTATACACACCAAATGGAAAAACTGATTTCAGACATTTTTCCGTCAAATACTTGGTCGAAGTTAAGCATTGTCTCTAGACAAAATCAGTAAGTTCCACTGCCTTCTTGAATTTCCTCAGTTCTAAGCAATTATTCAATTGTCTGGGTGAAATAAAGTCTTGGTATGAAACATTTAAGTCACTACTTTCTAAGAATGGTTATTCGAAGGGCAGAATAAGTAAATATTATTATTATTATTATTTTTATTATTATATCATATGGCAGGCGTTTTGATGGTTATCATTAGCTCTTTAGTTGACTTCAGGCTTTACAGAGGGAAGGAACATCAAAGTGAAGAAAGTCGAGAGGGGGGAGGGTACAGAAGAGTGTTTCAAAGACGTAAAAGAGACAGACACAATGGTGCAATAAAGGTGAGGTGAGTACTGTGAAAGGAGTCGAATATGACATGCAGTGGGGTGATGATAGTTTGAAGTGAGAAGACAACTGCCAGTGAATAGACTTCTTTGCTCTATGAGTATACGTTGCCCAGAGTGACCAATGTGGAGATAAGTCTATCGCGAACCCCATAAAAGTTATAGGTTGACATTATCATATTCACAAGTTGTCAAACGTTACCTATTTAAGTCTCACTGATATCGTACTGTCTACTAAGTAAATTTTGATATTTTGAATTATACTCATTACTCTATGCTACTAGTTGAATAGTAAATGTGTAGTACCACACCGATGGAATGGAATGTACTTAGTACACTCTCAAGTTCACCCCTGCATGTGATTAACCCTCAACTAAAGAATTTTCATACCAGAGCTAAAAAATAAAACTCCATTATCGAAGAAAGAGGTGTGCGATAGACTTACCTCCTCGTGGTGCACCCTGGGCGACGTATACTCATAGAGCCAAGAAGTCTATTAACTGGCAGTTGACTTCTAACTTCAAACTACCCTCACCCGATCGTATGTCATATACGACTACTTCCAAAGTACTCACCTCACCCTAACTATTATGACCCGACACTATGTCATATTACACTACTCACGGTATTCATCTTACCTTTTCTCTTGTGTCTGTCTCTTTTACATCTTTGAAACTCTCTTCTATTCCCCCTCTCCCTCTCGATTTGTTTCACATTGATTTTCCTTCCCCTCTGTGAAGCCTGAAGTCAACTAAAGAGCTAATGATAACCATCAAGACGCCTGCCATTTGATATAAATAAATAAATTATCGAAGAAACCATCGTTCCCGAAATTTGTTTGAGTTAAAGCATTATGAGTCATGAATTATTTAATTCTACTCACTTGTGCCTTATCCCAAAGGTGTCGTCGTCAAAAGTAATATTCATTGATATTTATTTATTTATTTATTTCAAATGGCAGGCTTTATGATATTTATCATTAGCCCTTAATCTTTGACTACAGCTTGCCCCATGGGTAATGATATTTATCATTAGCCCTTAAACTTTGATTTCAGCTTCCCCCAGGGGTCTGCCTCATCATTTATTTCAAATGGCAGGCTTTATGATATCTATCATATTAGCCCTTAATCAAGGGATCATTAGCCCTTAATCCTTGACTTCAGCTTCCCCCAAGCATTAGCCCTTAATCTTTGACTACAGCTTCCCCCAAGAGGTGGGGGGTACATTTATAGCAGTTAATTAAGAGCAATTCATTAGCTGTCTTCTTGCTTCCCAGTAT